GTATTTTGTGGGGAGGTGATTTGCAACCATGTAAGTATCCTGAACTTCCTTAAACTTTGAATTTATTCATTTACTTATTTACATGAATATGGACTCAAGGTTTTCTGTTTTATTTAATGAGTCCATCTGTTACAATCATTATTTGTTTTGATGCTCAAATTGTTCCCAGTTTGGTCAATAGGAGCCCCTACCAGCCAGCCTCTGTGTGTGTGTGTGTGTGTGTTTTAAGACATGTCTGTGGTTTATTTTTTTTTTTTTTAAGACATGTTCGCAATATTCCTAAGCACATCCTTGCTTTCTGGTACCACCAGATGTCCCAAGTTCATCTTGTATTTTCTCTGTCCCGGTTCTGGATTCAGCCATTTCTCCAAAGAGTCCTGGTTCCCTTTAGTGAAGAATGGCATCTAGAAGGTAAGATTTGGGCACTACGTATATTTTTTGCTGTTGGCATGTTACTGTTCCCAAGCCCTGTCAGTGAACAGGGTTAGAAAATGTGTGTGGGTACAGGTGTGCACACACACTTACATCTGTATTTTCTACATAATCTATAAATATTAAAAGACTTGTGTTTGCTCATCCATACCTCCAATTCCAATCCAACACCACAGGGTCCATTTTCCCTTTCCATATTTGTAGTTCTCTTTTCTGACAGCAAGAAACCTGGCTTCCGATATCTTTGATATATTTACTCGTTTGATCAGTTCCCATGTATGTAACCAACCTCCCACCTCTGACATCACCATCTTGGCCATACGAACACCTTAGTCTTGCTTCCCCTGCTCAGGCTCTCATACTTTGCTTTGTGTGCCAGTCTGGGGATGGTGAGGAAGTGGATTCTCCTCCTATTTCGCCCAGAGGAGATGGGAACCGTACATCAAGGGACAGAGGTAATTCTGCCATAACAGGATAAGTGCTCTCCAAAGGAAGGGGGCCTTTTGTGATGCCATGAATTTGCCACATGAAGTCTGCTTACCTCTCAGTGTCTGTTGGAACATGGTAAACGGTTTGAAACAGAGCTGAAGAGCAGGAATAATGTGGAAGTGGAAAATCCAGAAAGAAAATATGAAGAAAAGCCATAAGAGGATGGCAGAAAGGAGAGAAAGGGACATAGGTGGGAAAACAAATATAAGAAAGTTTGAGTGGAGGAGAAAAAGAAGATAAAATGACTTCTGTTGACTGACATCACCCTCCCAAAGCTTCTCCCGAAGGTCTGGCAAATATGCTGGTCTCCTACAAGCTCTCAACCAACAACTTTGGTATGCATTCAGTTAAGGGAACAGAGATGATTCGAAGACGTAAGCAGTGAGTTGCCATCTCTTGAGGCCACAAATGCAACATTCCTGCAGAAACTGCAAGGCACCAGCCTCCTGAAATTCCCAGGTATTTCTCCAGGGCCTCCCAAGCAGATCTAGTCCAACTTCGCAGAGCATGGGGATGCTTGCTTACCAGTTGAACTATCTCATCACCCACGAGTCAATTCTGAAGTCTGAAATAAATGCCTTTCAGTTTTTGAGAAGGAAAAGAGTTACAACCTTTTATGGTCATGAGAAAATAGTGAATTCACCGATCTAAACCATATCACTTGTTTTTCCCTCCAGTAGGCCCTCTCTGCAGCATCGGTCAGTGCTGCCAAACACAGTCGTCTCCACTCCCCTACCTGTCATCCCACCTCCTCCTCCTTCAATCTGGTGTCTGCTGTCAGCTCTTTACTGCCTAGTGTCCCACCCAGGGGGGACAGGGACCACCTATTCCCAAGTCAGAGAACCCTCAATCCTTCTCTGAATGACCTCTCTGCTACATGTCACTGTGGACAGCCCTCCTCTTTTTTGAAAGTTCATCCCCCTGCTTAAAATTCTTCCACAAGCCCACCAAGTCTAAACACCTGGCTCTCCCTCGACCTCATTTCTACTCTACTGTTTTTGGGGCCTCACCTCCAGCCACACCTCATCTGGAACTTTAAAATCTCCGAGGAATTCTGTCCTCTGCACCTTTGCCCCTTCTTGTCTCACTCTTAGAATGTGCTCCTCCCCCTGGGTAACGCCTATTTATCCTTTAAGATTCATCTCAGTAACTAATCTTTCTGAGAATTATTAGGCAATAATAACTACTTTCTTTTTAACTTTTTTTTAAATTACGAAATAATCTTAGAGAAGTGCATAAAACATGGATGTGCAGCTCAAAGGATGGTTGCAAAATGAGAACCCTGTGACTTCTACCCAAGCTGGAAATAGAACATGGCCCACTCCCTCCCGAGAGCCCCCGCAGTGCTTCTTCTCAATCATAAACCCCTTCTTAGGCTCAGCGGGTAACCCTACACAGCCTGTATAGTGTTCACGTCCTTGCTTTTTTCTCTATGATTTTGCCACCTAAATATGCATCCTTAAAACCTAGAGTTTACTTTTGCTGCCTATATTTGAACTTTATGTTAATGAAATTGTACATTAAATATTTTGTTCTGCCTGGCTTATTTTGCTCAATATTTTATCTTTAACATGTTTTTCATAGTTGTCATCTTTATTTTTATTATTGTGTAATATCTTGTTGTATAAATATACCAAAATGTGTCCATTTTATTTTCGATAGGCATGGGAGCTCTTTCCAATTCTTGGCTATTATGAACATTCTGGTGAAAATGCTTGCACATGTCACTTGGTGCCTATATGCATGTATTTCTGTAGGGTATATATCCAAGAGTGAAATTGCTGCATCTTGGGGTATGCTTAGCTTCAGTTTTACAAGATAATATCAAAAATGTTTTCAAAATGGTAATCACAGACCCTAAGATTTGATGTAATAACAATCTTTCTTGAAAAGAATATCTGTACTTGAGATTTATGACAAACAAAAACAGACCAAAAAAAACGTATGCACACAACAAAACAATAGTAGCAAGAGCCCAGGGGGCGAGAGAGTGAGTATTGATAGAGATCAGCAGTAAGGATGAGGAACCACAGCTGAGGGGGTCTGGCCCTCATGGGAAAGGAAAGGTGCTGGACCGGGGATACCGGTATAAATGGCTTCCCATGTGGAGTTGTATGGCTTCCCGTTGTGAACACTGGAAAAGAGCTTTCCTTCTTTCTCCTGAGAATGTGTTGGATGTTGTTTCAGTGACTTCCACGAACACCCGTGGTAGCTGTGGAACTGACCAGGCTGCTCCTGGGGCCAGCCCTCCTTACCATCTGCCCCAGGCCCCACTGGCTTCCACCTCTCAGACTCAACAGTTCTCCTCCACTCCTGGCCTGCCAGTGGCTATTGTGAGTCTCTCGCGGTCTTGGCCCTTCCAGCCAAGAAGAGCTGCAGTAGCCTTATGTCGTCAGTGCCTGTGTGGAATGTGGAACGTTCTCTTTCCAGCTCTTTCACTTCTCACCCAAGAGCAAACATGGGGGTGGGGGGTATGAGGGAGGCAGGTGAAGATAGTACATCTGGGGATTATCCTGAAGCAGAGGCTGAGGTTCAGGGGAAGTTGGAACCATGTCTGAGTCTTCTTTGGGTCCCACCTTCCCCCCGCCCCACTCCAGTGCCTGGCAGAGTTCCTCATACACCTGAGTATCTAACCTGCCACTTATCCAAACAACAACTGTATAGCAGTGGGGAACAAAGGAGGTATCTGTTCTTGGACCTCTATCCTACCATCTGCCAAAAAATGTCAGAATGACCATATATATCTACAATGACTGTGAGAATGGCACCCCTGCAGTTGTGCAGAGCATGGTTTTCTCACCCTAAGGTGTAGTCTGTTTGCTGGATAAATAAAATCCAATGCTTGTAGTCAAATCTCATGTTTACCAATAATCCCACTCTCTTAAAATGGGTTTACCAGAAGTGCTAACGAGGAACAAATATTTAAATGAAGATCCACCAAATAGTTATTTCAGTTCAGGTCAGCCAGAAACTGCCAGCAAATGTGTATTGATTGATTTGATAAAACAGCCCGTAATAGATTTGAATTTTGCCATAGCTTAATGATTTTTTCCTTATGGAACTAGAAAGCTGCCTGTTTGCAGAGTACAGCAATTTATCCTTCTGGTTGATCGTGGTGAGGGGCTAAAAAGAGAGGACCGGCGTGTTGATTATGAATCTGAGTCCATGGTAAGTGTCACTGCGCAGGGTCATGCAGAGGTGTTTGGCTGAGAAAGGCACCAAAAGCACTGCTGGATCCAGTGGAAGGCAGCTTTTTCTAATTTGTCTGTCCACTGGGGATGTCTTTTTCTAATTCTCACAAGGACTAGTTCTGTGCAAGATATTAAAACTGTTTCCACAAAGCCGAGCCTAGTAACGGCAGTTTTCTGAAACTAGCATCTCTCGTGCAATCATCCACAAAGCCAAACATCTCGACTTATCTGATCATTACATCTTTCTTTTTATGTTAAATTATTTATAACCTTATAGGTCAGTGAAACCTCTGCATTCTAAGCTCAGCACGGTGACTTTGTGAGCTGGATAATATTCTCTATTTGCTCCTCCAGGTTGCTCTTTTGAACTCTCTGTGTCCAGGAGACTGACCCATGGGAGTGGCATCAAACAGGCTCCCTTGGCCCTGGCTTCCATCTGGGTTCCAATCTGAGGCACCTCAGACAACTGATGGGCTGGAGGGAAAAACAAATAAAGTTTATTGCCCATTCTTTCTCCCTATGGGTCACAGATTGGCTGTGTTCCAGTCATGGGCTGAAATTGACCCCTCTAAATTCATATATTGAATTCCTGATCCCCAGTACCTCAGCATGTGATTGTATTTGGAAATAGGGCCTTTAAAGAGATAATTCAGTTAAAATGAGGCCGTTAGGGTAGACCCTAATCGAATATGACTTGTGTCCTTTATAAGAAGAGAAAATTTAGACAAAGATACATGTATAAAGAGAAGACTATGCGAAGACACAGGGAAAAGAGAGCCATTTACAAGCCAAGCAGAGAAACTTCAGAAGAAACCAGAACCTTGTTTTGGGCTTCTAGCCTCTAGAATTGTGAGAAAATAAATTTCTGTTGTTTGAGTCGCCCAGTCATGGTAGTTAGTTAGGGCATTCTGAGCAAAGTAACAGTCTCTCTATGAAAACTCACAGGTGCAGACTATGCTCCCCTTCTTAGAGCCACTGTTCTCTCCCTGGAGTCGGGTCACTTCTCCCCCGACCCCCACCTCCAATCCCTTGACCTCAGGCTTAGGGAAGGGCTCCCTGCTATTGCTGCCCTATCAAGAGTGGTTTCCTTTTGCTAATGGCCTTTATTAAACTCTCTTCAGTTACCCCATTTGAGTGCATCAGTAGTTACTTGCAGTAACAGACCATTCCACTTGTTTCCCTCACGATTTGCCTGAGTCATTTCTAAAATTTAATCCTACCTAGCGGAAACAAAACAGAATGGTACACTGGGCAGGATGAATCTTTCTACCATCTTATTGTGTAAAAAACACTTTTCTGAAATTCCCTAGGGTGACAAGAGGCTGTTTGAATATGCAACCTATCTGTGAGTTCTGTACAAATAGAGACACCGAATCTGTCTGGCCAAGTGTCCTGTAACGCTGAGATCGTACTAATGAGTGAGAAAGCGACTGCTTTAAAAAGAAACTAATGCTGTGGAGAGAACACTTTGCCAGTGGAAATTTAGAATTCTTTCCATCATTGTATGAATTTGTTTTCTCTGTTAAAAATTGTGATATGTATACATTTTTATAACTGGGAAGTGGGATTTTTCTAAATTATTTTAAAGTCTTGTAAATGTATCATGTCAGACAACTTCGAACATTATTTGTCTATCTACCTGTCCATCTACCTATATATCTGTAAAAACAGTGCATCAACCAGGCTTCCTTGCCTTTTGACTTTCTCTGGGTTTGACCAATAGGAAGCACTTTTTGATTAGATTATAAGAACACTTGATTGATGCTAAAGAAGATGGAAATTATTAGTAAACTTTCAACAGAATCTTTTCATAGCTGGTAGATATGGTCAAAAACATGAGTCACAGTAGAGTAGAGACAATGCCCCTCTCGTATTATCTTTGCCAACATTATTTTTAGCCATGATAGTCACTAAAACTAGTTATAAAAATAAACTGTGCTTAGAATCAGACTTTTGAATTATATCACAAAGTGGTAAAGCAAGATTTTCAAGTGAAGCACATTTAATTTAGTCACATATAAATATAAAATGAGCATTCAACATTAATATCAGAGTAAAGCAAAAAGGATTTTGTGTATCATTGAGAAAATAAACGTCTTAATATTTTTTCATCTTTTAAAATTTTATCTTTGTTTTTAACTAACAATGTGTAAGTTCAACATGTATATTTGTAAATAAATAACAAGTATTGGAAATATCTGCTTAAAATCTTTTACTGATTTTGGTGAGCCATCTGAAAAGCCTGGAGACCACTGACCATCAAAGCATAAGGGCTGCAAAAAAAAAATATCCACTGTACCCAGAATCTTAGAACTTTAGAGTCATAATTCTATCTTGTTCAAACTGGCTTCAAAGAAAACAAAGGAGAAAGCATGAAAGAATGCTGTGAGCCCGCCCGCACAGCCTTCCCGCTTAAGCCAGTAGAGTATGCTCATTTGGTTGGGCCGCTACCTCTGAAAACGTTTTGGAAATATTTGGAATGTAATGGGAGGCCCAAGGGACCACCCAGAAGTAAAAGCCCAAAGGAAAGTCTTCCAAGAACAACAGGGGGCAAAAAGAAGGTCGACTCCTCCCCAGTTGCACTTCCTGGTCAGGGCTGGGCTCGACGGGTTCAGCCATCTTGTCCAAATCTGCTTGCGCCTTACATGCATTCCTGAGTGTCACAGGGTACAGGCCTTGGAAATCATGTTATCACAGTGTGTAATGTTTGGAGGTGACAGAAAACACTCTAGTCACGTCAGAGAGAATAGTTATTTAGACTAGTGAGGAGAAAATGCCCTAAAGCTCAACTCAGTATGCCTTCTCTCTAATGCCGCCAGCAAAACAAGAACTCAGCTCCAGGCAGAGCTCTAGACGATATGCATATTTATTGTTTGGCCTTTCAGACAAAAGGCTATAAAAATACATTGGTGAAGTGGAAACTGCAGTATGAATTTTGAAATCAAAGCTGCTTCTTCCAATCTGTTTTCTGTTGTTTTTTCAGGATTCCTCCCTGATTAAAATTAAAATCTGGTCACAAAACAGGGGACCTGGAGAGGCGTTCACTTCTCTACATCTCCACAGATGCATCCTGCTGCTTCCAGCTTTTCTCCTTTGTCAAAAACCAAAATTCAACTGATTAAATTTGAAGACCTAATTGGCTTTAGTAAGTGATTTATGAGTCAGGCGGCATCCCACCCACCAACTAAAAGAAGGGCATTCTGAAGTGTTGTACAAAAGGGAAGGTTTTATAGGGAAAAGGTTGTGGTAGGTGAATGATTAGCAAAAGAAAAAAAGGATTAATTTTAGACCAGGACATCTTTTTTGGGGGGCAAGGGAACACAAGAGTTTTATTGTACATTCTGCCTCTTCTTCCCATGGGGGTAGGGGAATGTGGAGAGATCCCACGTGATATATTACTGGCGGTGACCAGAAAATTTCAGACTGGCTAATTAAGATTACATTTCTGGTGAAGGTTGAAACTGCAACTAGGTCAGGTATTGTCTAGGTTTGATATCACGGGCTTTAGCACAAGTGATACCATTTTAAACCTGTGGTTTTTCCTTTAATACCTTAAAGGCAGAGTGAATCCATATTACCTCTTCAGTTCTGAAAGATGCACCAGAACAGCTTCATCTCCCTACAGAAGCCTGTAGAGGAGAGTATTTGAGTACCTGAAGAAGCCAGCCTTCTTTGCAGTAATCTTAAAGGAATCATTGGCTGATGTTAACAAGACATCCTTTCTGCTACCCATATTCAGAATCGTTTCTTCGTGAAGTAAATACTGGTGATTTGTTGTTGCTTTGTTCTTTATGTCCATTAAATAGTGATCTGATTAAAAATTAATGGGATTTTGTAATCTAAGAGAGGTCGGTCCATCCCTGAGTTTTGCTAAACCCCATCACTCTGCCTCCTGTTCAGCTCACAGCTCACAGCTCACAGGGGACCATCTAAACACCAAGAACCTCCAGCGGAATGGAAGCACAAACTGCTTTACCCCAAGTCCCACTCGGTGGAACAAACGCTGGCAGATGCTGCCATTTTACACGTCTATGACCTCCACGCTGGGTTTTCCTTCTTTTCACTCCTGTAAAGAGTAAGAATGCCACGTGGTCCCAAATCACAGTCCCAAGTTGACCTTCCAAATGGATACCTGGGGCATATGAACACCCTCCAACTGGGAGGCACTTGTCATTTACCGCACAAACCATAATCCAGCAAAACCAGACTTCTCACTGTAAAGAATGAAACAGATGCTTTAATCCATTTGGCTTTTTGAAAAATGAAGGTGAGGACTTGATTAACTGAGGTTTGCTTACCCTACTCTGTAATGCCAATGGATTATTGGGCCTGTGGCAGCCTTGTCTGTCATTTTTGTGGCTGGGCTGTTCCCATCTTGGCTGGAAAGCTAAAAGTGGAATTTTAACTATGAATTTTCTTGTGTTTAATAGGCTAAAGTCAAAAGGCCACATTCTGATTCGGAGTTGCATGAAAAACTTCCACTGAAGTTACTATGTATATCCGAGTTTAGTTAAAATACCCCAACATTTGGACATTATTAAATAACATTCTTCTTTTTTAAAAAAATCTTTTTAATGTGCATGTGGGAGGGTGAAACAGCATGTGTAAATTAATAAAAAATTCACTCGGTTTGAGGAAATGCTTGCTTTTTAAGAGAACAAAGCCTTTTGGACAGTCCTGCTCATCAATTCCATCTTTACACATACCAACCACTGAGCCTCTCCAAGCTTATCTTGGAGGCCTCATTAGCTTAGACCCGTCTGGTTATTTAAGGGGCAGCTGTGGTAGGGTGGAATACACAGCAGGCCTGGACCCAGAAGAAGCAAGATCAAGTTCCAGCTCTGATAATAGTTGTATCAACTTGGGCAAGTCGTTTAATCTTTCTCTCTATCTATTCACCTGTAAACTGTCAACTTTGCAAGTTATTGCGTGAATTCAATAGTTACTGGGTGTTAAATTTGTTGCTTTTTAATTCAAAAGCATTTTATCTATTATACAAGCAAAATATATAAGCAAACAAACAAAAGCCCAATAATGATGGCAATACTAAGGAGAAACTTAGAGTCGAACAATGGTAATACAAATATGATTGGTATAACTCCTTTGGAAAGCAATTGCAATGCATACTGATAACAAAGAGTATTTAAAATCGTCTTCTTTGATTTAGCAATTCCACGTGTGAGAATGTTCGTGGGAAATACAAAAAATAAATAAATAAATAACAAGGGGAAATCTCTTCGTGAAACAATTACCTTCATAGCATTTTTTTGTCATGGAAAAGAAGTAGAAACAATCTAAATTTTAAACAAATAAATGTTTAAGTACATTAATACATGCTTAGATGATCCTTATATTAAATTCTTATAATATTAAATGAATAAAAATGGGTTCAAATACATATTTTGTATGATCACATCTTTGTACCAAAAAACATAAGCATTAAAAAGGACCGGAAGGAAATAGAACAAAATTTTCAACAATAATGGGTAGAAGAAAAATGAAAGTTGCTTTGGATAAAAGAACTACATGAACTTTTGCCCTTTTCTGCATTCCTAATATCTTATACATAGATGACAGTCAGTATATATTAAATGAATTTTTAAAAGTGTTATACCTTAGCTCCTAATTAACTAGAACACTCTGCTCAACTAACTTTCCAACTAATCAAAGCTTTACCTTAATTAGCCCTAAAAAATAGTTTGAAATATTTTTTCCAGTGATTTATTCTCATTTTTCCATCCAACTATCTGTAAGATCATAGATATTCAGGAACTAGCACGTTTGGCATTTGGTCAAATAGCAAAAGCTTGGATTTAGCCATTGAGTGTCACAAGGCGCAACATCAAAGGAATTTTCCAACATTGCTCCCTGAGTATAGCCTGGCCCATGTCATTTGATCCTCAAGAATGCTGAACAGTGAGCAGCAGGCAGTGGGCAATGAATACCCGTGGCAGGGGAGCCAAAGTATACATTTCCGTCAACAGGAGAATAGGTGCAAGCCAAACCAGGGAGGGGTGGCACGCTTTAACTGTAGACAGCAGTTTTCAGAGAAAACTCATCAGCATATCGCAGTGAATTGTACATAGGAAGAGGATACAATGAATAAAACCTCATTAATTTACAGAAATAGAACTAAGCATCCAAAATAGGCAATTACATGGACATTTGATTCTCAGATCCACTAGAAGTAACATTTATTGCCTTCAGATGAAAGCTAATTTTACTGGTTTTCTTTTGTGATAATATTGTAAAATACCATTTTGTGTTTCTAGCGTGTCCTGCAGGTCTCTTTATGGCTCACCTGTGAGCAGAGCACAAAGCTCAGCACACAGTGGAGTTGTCTACCTGGGAAAGAGAACTTGGTCTGTGTTAGGACAACTCACAGAGGAAATGAGTTTTGCAGAGAAGGAATAAATATCTCTATGGCAGAAATTTAGTCAGTTCTTGAATTTCAAGTAGGAAAGCTTCCTCACATCCGACTTTGCTTAAAGAGCAAAAGACCAAACGTACACCTCAATTGCAGGTAATTAAAAGCCCCTTGGAGGCTTATGGAAGGTTAGAAATGAAAGATGGTTTAAAAATCTTCTAATACTTCACCACGCACAAAATACATATTCTTTACAGATGAGGAGACAGTTCAGAGAGGTTAGGAATTTTTTTTGAAATCACACAGCCATTAAACATTCGAGCCAGGATTCAGACCCAGGTCTCCTGGCTCTCTGTTGCTCTTGCTTCTGTAAAACTCAAATACCACAGGGCTTGTGATCTGTCAAACCTCCACCAGTACTATGCATCAGACATTCAAGAAGCAGTGTAGCATGATGGAAAGTGTTTAGTAGTCAGACTGGAAAGTTTAAATCCTAACTCTGTTACCTACTAGTGCGTGACCTTGGACAAATCAACTAATCTCTCTGAACCTCAGGTTCATCTATAAAGCAAGATCATAAATCTACCCCCACAGTGTGGTGGTAAGAATTAAATGAGATAATGCACCTAGAGAGCTGAGAAGGGGTCCTGGTGCACCACAGAAACTCTACGAACAGCATCCATCGTTACAGTCGTACCATTTCACAGTCGTACCATTTCCTTGAAGGCAGGCTCAAAGGCCTGAACTTTCACCCTCAGCATGGAAAGAAGAGTGTGGTCCAAATACTTCACCCTTCTTCATAAGAGCTATACAAATGTCTCTGTCCTCAGCTGTGCCTAGTCGAAATAAATCAAATCCAATCTGGATCATTTAGTGCTTGGCACCATTTTTAATACTAACCTCATCAGTTTTTATTTTCATTTTCTGGTGTACCCAAACAAGCCATTTTTACAGGCTAGTGACTTTAAACCAAAGCTGCCAATAAAATAGACTTATCTTGAAAACGCCAAGATCCTTCTGAAAGAATGTAAACATAAACACACACATGATTCAGGAAAGTTTGATAGGAATTTGATCCTTGACTTGGATGCCAGCTCAGCACTAAACTTGCCCAGTACTATTTTAGGGTATTAAAATCTATACGTGCTTAATGTCCCAGCCACCCTGCCATCCATTAAGTTTGAATGTCCTTTATGGAATGAACTTGATCCTCCTGCCTTACTTTTGGTCTCTCTCCAGAGGAGCTAATGCGCTGGCATAGTTCTGCCATTTGTCAGCCAGAAGTCTGGTTACACATTTGCTCGTCAATCTAAACCTAACCTATTCTCATACGAGCACTTGGGATTTCATGTAAATCAACCAGACGTTCTGTCATTCACCAGCAATATCTCTCTATAGTATTCTACACCCATGTGCCTTCATGAAATATTTCACTATGTTTGTGGAAGAAATATTTAAATGAGTGTGCTTTTTCAGGAATGGTGACACCAGAATGTTATAAATCTGTTCATTACCACAACAAGGATAAATGGTATTTCTGCCAAAGACTTTTGATAACCGGTACAGTAATGAATCTCAGCACTTTCTGAAATTAAAGGTCTGCCCTGAGAGGTAAGTAGTATAATGCATGACTAACAAACGCAAACCCAAATTTCGGAGCTAAGTTTTCCTTGTCAGTGTAATTGATCGTTTCTGACAGACATGGTCTTAGGAAATTCATAATGCTATTTCTATTCTCTTGATGTAAACGTCCAGGTGAGGCTGACCCCACCATTTGTAAAAGGGCAGATCCTTATTAACTTAGCATGCTTTGTTGTGATTTTTCTTACATTTGAATTCACACATGCTTTTTCAGTTGTATTTCAAAAATCTGCTATGATTTAAGGACAATATTTCATAAAATTATTAGTTCATCATTCAGTCAAATATTTTAATATTCAGTTTAATAATTTCTTAAGAAACCTTTAAAGATATTTGTTTCTGATTATAATGATTAATTGTTTAAAAAATTTTTTTAAAGCTAGTGATTTCACTCTAGCCTTCACTAGCTCTTTTTGCATTTTCGAGAGGCACAAAGAAACTAAGAAATTGGGAATTTCAACAAGAAGAATAAATATCAGTTCTCATGGACATGTTCATGACATTGGGCCAGTTAACCTCAGTGTTTGTGTGTTGTAAAATGGTGTCTTAGAGCTAATTCATGAGGACTATGGAGAAAATGAAGAGGGGAAGGCTTTCGATTTAAATATCTACAAAGAGCACATTTTATTCCTATAAGTATCTGAAAACACCTTGTATCATCACTATTCACTTGGAGCACTAGCAGTATGACTATCAGTGCTGTAAGAAAAAAAAAATCCAATATCTGTAAAAGGTTATTAATCCAAAAAATGTGTTCTCTAAAATTAAAAACTCACAGATAGAGCTATATCATAATGGCTTTCAAAATGCCTGAAATGAACAGAATATAGATTCTGGTCAGAGAGTAATGGTTGTGGATTCTGAAGAAGCTAAGCCGATCATAGTTAAAGTTTTTTGGTATTGAGTTTCAAGCATAAAGTCGCTTGGTCATAGTATAAAGATTAGTGTCTACTTAAGTAAAATGCTGTGCCTTAGCGAAATGCAGAAATGCCTTCCTCCTCACCATTCTCTCCTCTCATTCCTGTTCATTCTCATGGTAGCATTATTCCTCTATCTGACTTACTCCCTCTAGTGTTTGCTGGAATAAGTACAGGTATTAAAGCTCAATTTACAAACACTATTACTGCAATCCCTCAATATTTTCCCCAGTTACCATACACTAAAGCAAACTTACCACAAGATATTTTGACACGAACTCCAAGTGACTGTAAGAATTTCTTATCTGAGAGTCTCGAAGTTAGATTTTTGTATTCCAACTTCAAATCCCAAGAGGAGGCATTGACTTCTACTCTGCTAGGGTTAGATAACTTCTCTGCCTTGGAATCCTTATATTCTATTTGCTTTTATTGTGATATGGAAGAGAGGAAAATCTTCTCTAATGAAATAAAGCATGCAATCAGGCATTTCTTTGACATATTTTCCGGGGATAGAACTTATACTTTGATTTTTCTAAGTTACCCAAGAGGTTCAAGGTATTTTGACTCAAGAGAAAGCAATTAATTTTTTAAAAATGGCCTTATGGAAACTGTTGGCATATTTTCTGCCACAGAAGCCCTTAGTCAAACTAGGAAGAGTAGCTTCTTGGGAAACGTATTGCTTATGGGCGCTTCTTTACAGAGAAGGAAATATACTTCTAAAGTTGTCAGCTGCTGTTGCTGCTGCTTTGGAAACCAGCCATAGCTGATTGTGAGAGCTAACTATAGGCCAAGGTCATCTGGGGATCCATGCAGCCAGCTCACAGTGATGGCACCCACATCTCACCAGAGCACGTGGGCCTGCCAGTCCAGCCCAGAGAGCTATTTTCAACTGGAAGTCCCAGAAGAAGGCCCGTGACTGTCCTTCATTCTGCTAGTATTCAGTTTTACACTTATCCGTTTTGAATCATAATCTTCTCTACATGTTGACCTCTTCTCTTTTTCTTACCTTTATTGAGACTCCAAGAGGAGATTGGTAGATACGTCAAATTATAACATTAAAACTGATTTGTTCCTTAATAACAAAAAGCTCATCAACACGTATAGCTCTACTGTATCAAATTACTTCAACCAAGTGCCTGAGCAGGAAATCCCAGGCTTACTTAGTTGCTTCTTCATTACAGTCATCCACCAACCACCAGTCATTGCCAGGCCTTGTTCATTCAGATTCTTAAGGACCTATTGTTGATCCTCTCCTCTTCCATGTCTACTGTCATTACATTTCATTCACTTTTGCCTAGACTGCTATAATAACTTCCCAAGCAATCGCCCTGTATCCAATTCACCAACATTTTGCCATAAGTTATCTTTCAAAATTACAAATCAGAATGCATTACTCTTCTGCTTAAAATCCTTCCATGGTTCCCCATCACCTATAAGATAAATATCAAACTCCCTAGTCTGGTAGTCAAGATTCTTCAAGATCTGAAGACTACTGCCTGCTTTTCCACTTCTTGTTATTCCCTACGTGCCACCTTTCCATCCCTCCCTTCATCTCATAAATATACCCTATGCTTTGGCCAAATTAAGTATTTATTCTTTCCCAAACCCATCATGCTCTTCAATACCTTCAGATCTGAAGAGTGATCTCATCTACCTAGTGCTCTTCTAGATTTCTTCCATCAAGATTCAGTTTGAACATTACCTTTTTGGTAGAGCTTCCCTGACTCTCTTCCAAAGCTCCCCACACAGCTCCACAGGCCACTGTTCACTCTCAGTTCTTGCATCATAACACACACACACAGACACACACTCACACCCAGAGATTTTTGAACTCCTGTTATGCTATGAGGCTCTTAATGTAGGAAACTTATATTATTGACTTTTGTGTTCCCAACATTTAGAGCCATACTTAAATTAAAGCAGTAAATAAATTTTGTTGTACTGATCAATAAAAATAGAAATCTCATAAACAGAGTAGCCAGTTGCATCCATGAAAGTGTGTTTTAATCCAAGTCCTGTCTTAACCTATGCCGTTCATTAAACACAACTTGACTTACCAGACTTCGAGTTGGGTTGTAATCTAAGGACCCATATCTGCATTTCAAGAAAACTAATGCTTCTAGAAAAGTCTTGGGGACTGGAGAATTCAGTCAGAGAAAAAGAGTCTGAAGCAAGGATGTGCTGCGGCTAGGGCTTGATGCCCGACGTGCGCAGTCCAATTCTGGAACACTTCAGAACCAAAGGCGCTGTCAAAATTGAGATAGACACCATGCATGGCTCATACATATTGTATGCCTCTCGGCTGTCTCTTCTCTCACTCACATTCTTGTATTCTCTGTTCTGTGCAAATTCCCAGCTTAGATCTAGGCTTAACCTGGTAACCTTGACTTTTAAGCTCAATTACCAGCACAGTTCCCGCCTTCGCCTTTCCAGGTTAGCCATTCCCCTGATGAGATTTTCCCTAGGACAAATAATTCTTCAAGAGGCTGCCAAGCTTTAATTAATTTATGCTTACCTTACGTGGCATTTAGGAGCCTCAGTTCATTACCCTCAGCCTTCTCTGCACCTCCTTATCTCACCAAGTATCAACCCTGCTTGAGGTCTGCTCAAAGCTCAGACACATGATGATCCCTCGCCAGCTGTGAAAAATTGACTCTCAGGAAAATATTTTGACCATTAAACTCTTCTCAAATTCAGCTAGCTGCTATAGCTAAACTTCTCTTACTCTTCACCTACACAAACTCTCCATTTGTTCATTATCTCATTAAACAAATGTTGCTGAGCATTTGTGCCATACCTGGGATGGAGGCAGTTAATAAGACAAACACAGTCCTTTCCCCTAAAAGCTTGCAAGCTAGCTGTTTTTCTGTTGTCCCTTGAATCTTACCAATACATAGGAATCTAACTGTATGCATTCAATATGCTTCCACCTGCCATCCATCTGGGCCTGTCTGAGTTCATATAATTCATCAAGGCTCCATTTAAGTCTCTCTCCCAATGTCTGGTGGTATCTCCCTCTTACAACAGGCTTGATTATGATCTAGCTAAAGGATCTTATCTAAGGATGCTGCATAGAGAACCAATGCTAATCTTAAGACTTCCAGTAATATCTCCAAGGGCTCCGTTATACCTATAATTTGTATCAGTTGGAGGTTTTGATAAACATAGAAAGGGCATGTTTATTCCTTGTGTGAACCACATGAAAATGGGTAAGACAGTTATTCAACCATAGAATCAAGACGTATTATTTAACTCTTGCTACATAGCAAACCACACCAAAACTGAATGGCTTAAAACAACAAACATTAAATATCTCATAGTTTCTTTGGTTCAGAAATTCAGCAGCAGCTTAGCTGGGTGTTTCTGGCTCAGGGTGTCTCACGCGGCTGCACTGGGGTTAGAGGATCCGCTTCCAATCAGGTGCCTCACATGGCTGTGGTCACTGGCCCTTGGTGTCCTACCATTGAGCCTGTCCATAGGCTACATGAGTGTCTTCAAGACACAGCAGCAACCTTCCCCCAGAGAGAGCAATCCGAGAGGCAGAAGAAAGTCACAGTACCTTTTATGACCTAGTCTCTGAAGCCACACTCCATCACTTCTACTTTATTCTACTCATTAGGAACAAATCACTAGGTCCAGTCTGTACTCAAAAGAGGGGAATTAGGCTTCACTCCTTGAAGAGAGAAGTTTCAAAAATTTTGGGAACATATTTTGAAATAACCATTGAAACTGCCAAAAGATCTTGAAAATTGGAGTTGTGGCATAACTCTAATTCCAGAATGTAAAAGATATAATTTTGCAGTAGTCTGAATGAAAATTCTCAAGAGTTTTAGTCAACAGAGTACAATATGGGCCTCTCTAAAAGTCAGCGTGGTCCCAGGCTACACAAAGAACCAGGTGTCATCTGGGATGAGGAAGTGAGTCATGTCTGTTTTACTGTGTTGGGGTCAGACCACAGTGAGAAGCTATATTCAGTCTGGAGCACCACATGGAGGGATATACTGGGGCCCATGTGGAGGACAGCAAATAGGGTGGTCAAGAAATTTGAAATTA